TTTATTTTTTTTTTTTTTTTTTTTTTTGAAGTTAAGAACTTCTCTAACTTAGCTTCCAATCTCCAACCCCTCTCAAATGGGTTGAGAAGAAGAAAAAAAATCTCTTTGTAAAAATAGCTCAATGTTTCCCTCATTGAGGTGGATTAAAACGTTACACCCTTTGAGCGGTTTCTCGTTTAATGAAAAATGTACCGATGTTATTATTACTGTTGCTCGATGTCTAACAAAAAGGGTTAAAATCTTGATTTTTTAACATAATCAAGGGATGAATTAAAAGATTTCTTCCTTATTCAGAATAAAAATACACTCACGGGTAACGCGTATAGCCGAATAAAGCTTAGTTTCTGCATAATTCACGTTCGATTCACAAAGAAGAATCTCACCCGAAACTCGAAGAAACCACAACGAGGCACGAGCTTGAATTTTCCTTAAGATTGGTTATAATCGTGTCAAAAACATGATATCGTATGGTTTGAAAAGTATGATCCTACGATTGATTCGGGATTGCATTGAGAATGGAAAGAGAAAGGCTGTGGTTTTTTTTTTAATATTGACAGCATGTAAAGAGGTTGGTGTGAGAATGTGTGTACGGAACATTTTCAGACATTTATTAGATTTTCTTAATCTTAAAAACATATACTGTCGTTTAAGGTTTGTCCTTTTTTCTCTGATTTTCCCGAGAAACAAACAAAATCATCTCTGAATATTACAGCCTTTTTAGCACACAGAAATGCAAATAATCCAAACCACTTTCTCTTGTTCTTGGTCTTAATGTTATCAACAATTTGCATGTGAATCTTCAATCTTTAGGGTAACTGATTCCATTGGAAAGATTCCGAGATTTGGTTAGCTCTCGCTCTCGCTTCCGAGGCTAGGTCAGTCGAAAGATGGTTATCGGTTCAAGGACGCAAGATGCCCCTATTTTTTCAGGGTAAGAAGGGGTAGAGAAAATACTTCGAGCCAATGTTTGAGTACCAAGCGGTACGGCGCTGAAATAACCCATGTCATACTCCCAAGAAAAGCTCGATCAACCTTCAACAAAAGGGTACCTGTACCCAAAATCGACACAGGTGGGTAGGTAGAGAATGCTTAGGGGCGCAAGACAACTCTCTCTAAGGAACTCAGCAAAATAGCTCCATAACTTCAGGAGAAGGGGTGCCTCCTCATAAAGGGGGTCGTATTGACCAGACCCGGGCGACTGTTTACCAAAAATACAAGTCTCCGCAAAGTCATAAGACCATGTATGGAGGCTGACGCCTGCCCAGTGTCGGAAGGTCAAGGAAGTTGGTGACGTGATGAATTAGTTAAAACTTAAGTCAACGATGGCACATAATGTATACTCAAGCCTCTGTCCCGTTCTTGAAAAACAATTTGAGAAAACGGGATAATTTTTTTTTTTTTTGGAAAGCAATGTTATAAGCTAACAAACAAAAAGTAACAACAACGATGCTGATAGCATCCTCGAACAACCTCCCTTAATTGAGGCTCGATTCCTTCTCTGGAGCTCTCAAACAAAGTACACTCTTAGTTTAACACCTAAGTCACTATAACGACATATTCGAGACTCACAATTTCTTTATTCGAGAAATTCTACTGACATGGCTAAGTTAAAATAAGGGTGTGACTCTGATATCATGTTAAAAACAACTAACGTGCAATAATTCTTAATAGTTTCAACGAGAATCTCGATTTTAGAAGCTAACTTCAAATTTTATATATAGCTCTATCGTACCTAACTAAAAACGTCAGTTTCAATACCTTTTTTTCTCATAGTCGATAAAATCAGCAAACTCGTAACTCGATTTTCAACTCGGTCTCAAAACTCGAGACTATTTACAAAACCCGACTCATTGGCGTGTGAAAAGAGATTTCAATTATTATGTTGGTCCAAAAGTGGGTTGTATCTCAAGCACAATTTGGCCAAACACTAACCCTAGAAGTACTTACAACCCTTTTTTTCCTTTAGAGAAAAAGCATAAGCAAAGCTAGTATTACTTTTTATTAAATAAAATTATTAAAATATTTTTAATTAATTAAAATTTAATTTAATTTTCATTCGTTAATAAATATATTAGGAACATGCAATCTTCATAATTATTTCCAAATAAATGAATTTAATAAAATTATATAAACTTTTTTATTCTTAAAAATGAATTGAGTATATATTTTAACAAATTACCAATGATTTTTAAATTAAACAAAATTAATTAAATTAATTTTGTTAAATTAATATAAATTATTTAATTATATTAAAAATAAAATTAAAAGGAAAGGAAAAATAGACGAATAGAAAACCCGTGACTTTAGAAGCATAATGAAAACTTTTATCGAGAGGAAACGATGATATCTGGATAATCCGAAACTGTGAGATCCCACATCGGTTGGAGAGGAGAACGAAGCATTCCTTGTATGGCTGTGGAAAATTTTCACTAACAGACCCGTTTTAGAATCTTGAGGGAAAGTCTGAAAGAAAGAAAAAAAGCCAAAAAGACAATATTGGCTAGCGGTGGATTTGGGCGGCCATTACAAATGGTATCATAGTCAGACACTAACCGGTGTGCCAGCGAGGACGTTAGGTCCCAAGGAGGTGGATTATGAGATCCCACATCGTACATTCCTTATATAGATGTGGAAACGTTTCTCTAATGAACACGTTTTAAAACTTTGAGGGGAAGCTCGGATGGGAAGGACAATATTTGCTAGCGGTGGGCTTGAGTTGTTACCGAAACTGTGTAACGGACTCGAGATTAGTTTGTCCATGCTCATTTTCTTCCAACAAAACCTCTGATCAAACAACTTTTAGCTGCCGAGAAAATCATATATATAAATTTAATGTCCTCTAACAACTCGGTTGGTAGCCGTCACGAATGTTAACCACGAGACGAATAACTTAGGGCAATTTTTAAACCAAAGTTTCATTAATATTTAATTTGAAACATTAATTATGGTAAGGTAATACGGAGCGAGTCCTTTGAAGACAAACTAGAGATGATGGAGCCAGCTCAACCGAACAGTACCTTGTCGTAATAAATATATTTAATTCATTTTTCATATTTTTATTAAGTTTTATTTAATTATTGCAAAAAACAAAGTCCTTATCTTTCAATCAATTTCAACAAAAATGACTAAAAAAAATTAAAATATCATTGAATTTTTAATTTTTTTTTTAAATAAATATCATTATTCATCATCGTTTGATCGTAAGACGTGGATCCGGCAATTTAGGGTATGCATCAATAAACATTAGCAATAATGTTGCTGGTGATATGTTCATTATTAGCGTGTTCGTATGTAGGTCACACGACACGCCATTTTAACTAAATTTTGTTTATAGCTTGTCTATTCCACGTCAAAATTTTGTTAAATAAAAAAAAAAAAAACTAGGTCAAAGCCTATGATTTACTAGATTTTTTGAGATAATTCAATTGAAATTTTTCGAAGATTCAAAAAATTAGGTTTAAAAAATATATTTTGTTCGGAAGGTTTGAATCGTTGAAAGTTTACTACTAGTATATGAAACGTTGTTATTTTTTATTCTCGGATATCTTATTCTTATCCATATTTCAAGGTATCTTACTATCAGATATTTTGAATAAAACTTCCAATCAAACGACTTTTACTGTTTAAATTGGATAATTCGAGTTGTTTGAGCTATTCAATCATTGGTTAATGGTAACGACCAGAGACCGTTGGATTTGATGTCGTTTTTTTTTTTTTTTTTTTTTGGGTTATTTCTCCCGGAAGGCCCATTGGGCCCATTTATGAACATGGGCCATTTTTAAATACATGCCCATTGGGCCCATTGGGCCCATATATGAACATGGGCCATTTTGAAATAAACTCTTAGAACATGGGCCAATTCATGTTACTTATTTCTCGTGTTTAAGAGTGAATATGGTCCCCACAGACCAACATGAGTCCTTCCAAGATAGTTTGTCATCACTCACATGCATTTTAAGAAAATCTTCGAGAGGTCAACCGATATAGACTTACTCTAAACAAAACACGCTTAACTATGAAGTTTCTATAATTACGTTACTGAAAAAGAAGGTGCACCCTATTTGTATAGGTCAAACGACTTTCAATTCTTTTAAGCTTTTATCGGTCATTCTATTATCAGGGTCCTTCTCATTCAGATGTAATCTCAGTTCATTCATATACCCCTCTTTTATCCAGTGTTCATTCATAGAGGTGGATTGCCAGTGGGAATATTAATAAAATTTTGAGTTCGAGAAAAATAAATTTCAATCCATAAATATAGTAACTATCAAAATTTCAAACAAATACAACTGGAGTTTGGATTACTTCAAACAAAACGTCATTACGTTACATCAATCTATTTTCGACAAACTTTTCTTGCACTTTATCTTTTTATCCTTTTAACTCTTTTCGAATATTCTTCATTAATTCATATTTTTTCAATTACATCATATCGATAACGATTATTGTCGACTTTCTAGCTAAGATTAGTTGTTAAAAAGAAGACTAAACATAGTTTATTATATGCTTTTCTTGTCATAGGTTTGGTCGTGATATAAGGCCAAATTAATGTATGATACATTTGTTAAAAAAGATATAATTATCTAATTTTATATTCTTTATCGCATTTATTGCGATAATTTCACTTTATATTTGATTTTAAATCGAAT